TAGATAACTTAAAAGCCTATTTATTAAATATGAATGAGATTCTAAAATGATATTGAATAATAGATCTTTGATAAAATGAGGGAAAAGTTTATGTTGAATAATTTAAATTATAGGATTAAAAACACAGTGACGTCAGAATCATGGCGGAGTGAGCTTTCCCGTAAACTCTTCCCCTGATAATATACAACAAAAGGAACAGTCACAGACCAACAATGGACTCCAACACAGCAAAAAGGAAGATCAGAAAGATCCACACTGCCGCACATCTGAGAGTGGACGTGCTGGGGCCCCCAGAGGAAGTGGGGAGAGGTAAGGAGAAATCTTCTCCCTCCCCATCAGATCAGCGATCTGGGTCCCACAGCTCCCAGAGAGGGGTGAGGGGTGGCCCTCTGCGGGGAAACCGTAGCTCTTCAGGCTCTCTCAGCCAGTGGGAAACTCCCACACAGAGGACTCAGAACTGCTGCAGGGGTGCCATCAACATCTGGGCACCCTAGGAGAGGGGATAACGAGGGGCGAGTGAGAAGACCCCCACTCCAGGGACCCAGCAGGCAAAAGAGAGAGCCCCCCTCCTTCCCCACCTGCCCGACACTGCAGCTCAGCCGACCAGACCAGACAGAGTGGCCTGGCTGATCGCAGGGAGCAGCCGGGGCGGAGCGCAGGGGGCTCAGATTACACAGCCCTTAACCCCAACACAGTGGCAGCAGGTGGAAACTGCAACCACATATTTCCAGGATGAGGAAAAACAAAGCCAATACAGGAACCACAATGCAAAGGTACATGAAATCACCAGACCAGAAGGAAAATGACAAGCACCCAGAAACCAACCCTGAAGGCACAGAAATCCATAACCTAAATGACAGAGATTTCAAAAGAGCTATCATAAAAAAACTCAATGAAATACAAGATAACACAGACAAATAATTCAATGAGATAAGGAGTTTCTTCACAAAAGAGATTGAAATCATAAAGAAAAACCAATCAGTACTGACGGAGAAGAAGAACACAATGGAGGAGATAAAGGAGAATCTGGAATCTTTAAAAAATAGAGTTGACAATATGGAGGAAAGAATTAGCATTATAGATGATAGGAATACAGATATGCTCCAGATGGAGGAGGAGAGAGAACTAAGACTAAAAAGAAATGAAGAAAGTCTCCAAGAAATATCTGACTCAATTAGGAAATGTAACATAAGAATTATAGGTATTCCTGAGGGAGAAGAGAGGGAAAGAGGAACAGAGAGCCTATTCAAGGAAGTAATAGCTGAAAACTTCCTAAATCTGGAGAAGGAGCAGGAAATACTAGTAAGTGAAGCCAATAGGCTGCCTAAATACGTCAACGGGCAAACGCCCACTCCACAGCATATAGTGGTAAGGCTGGCTAAAGTCAATAACAAAGGATTAAAAACTAAATACATTGTGATCACACCTATATAAAAATATACATAGAAAAAAATCTACATGTAAAAACATCTGCGAACGGTGGTCAGTTGGTGGTGAGATTAAGGATGACATTTTTCTTCTTTCTATTTTGTAATTATTCCATATTTTAAACTGTATAATTATTAAAATACTTTTATTTAAAAAATATTATAATTGAGAAACAGGTAGGCTTCAGTAAGTTGGTCCATGTGTTAGTTAAGATAACCCTGACTGTTCTAACTGATAAACTGTAGCATTTAAGTGACTAACACAGTAGAAGTCGATTTCTTGCTCACACATGGTCCAAAATGAGTTTCCTGGTGAGCAGTACCCCCTCTTACTCTCAAGTGTCCTAGTGTGGACAATATTACAGGGTCAGCCCATGATTAAGGGACCAGGCTCAGTCCCCTAGAGATGGATCTGTGTTCCCCGTGTCCATCTGCGTCAGACCCTGGAGGGGAGGATCCTCCGTGGTCAGGCATAGGAGTGTGTTTGGAGCCAGGTCTGGAAGGCGCCCACATTATCTCCACTCACCTCCCATTTGCTGCAAGAATCACACAGCCACACTGAACCTTGAGTGAGGCTGCACAGTGGGGGTCACCTACGTCCCCTGGAGGAAAAGGACATTGATTTGCTAAACTGCTAGCTCCTCTCTACCATGATGCCTAACAGTGTTCGCTGTTCGAAGGATCAGGGGCCCTGAACATTTTTCTGCCTATGAAACTAATATATTTCCACTATAGGAAAAATTGGATAACATAAAGTTGAAAATAAGAGTCACATAAAATGGTTGTTCCAGTTCTTGTCTTTTTCTTTAACAGAATCAGTATCACATTGTATACACCATTTTATATTCTAATTTTTCCACTTAATATTACGTGACACAAACTGCTCCATGCCACTAAGCAGTCTTCTCAAACATGATGCTTTTTAATAGCTGGATGGCATTTCATCCCATGAGTATATCATAATGTATATTAACACTCTCCTATCATGAAAATTTGGATTGAGCATTTTTGGAAGTGGGTCTTAGTGATAAGCCCACCTCCACACCGTTCTATATTTACCCAGGGCCCCAGGGTCAGCTGCTCGGTCTCAGAAGTAAGCTTTTCTGTCAGGAAACACTGAGACTCTGGCAACTTTTTTCAAATATTTCTCTGCCACATCCAGGGTCTGGGTCCCTCTCTCCCACTAACTACTCTGAAGGGAAGATTGTATGCAGATCCCATTGAATTTCCTATGTCATCTGCTCTTTCCTGCAAGGACAACAGCACAGGTCACTTCTAGGCAAGACAGTGTCTCGCTCCCAGCAGACACGTGTGGTCAGAAAACAAGGGCATGGGCACAGCCTTCTCCCAGCACTGACACTCCATAAAACATCACAAGTTCATCAAGAGAAGCTTCCCAAGGAGCTTCCAAAATCTCCTTCTGAGAGTGACATTAAGGCAGCCTTGTGGATGTCCGGAATGCCCCAGTAGTACACTGGTCTCCTACAAAGCCAAGAGCAGTGAGATTGGTTTCTGACTACGGCAGCATCAGAGGGAGGGAGGGGAAGTGACCCAGCATCAGCCTGCCCAGAATATTGGCATTGTTGGTGGCCCATGGGGCCCAGAGAAGAGGTGGGAAACACCCGACTTCAATGTCCCAACATCCCAGAGGAGAAAACAGTTGTAACTGACGGAAATGTAATAAAACAATCCAAAGTAGATGTAACCAGCTATGGATGTTGTGAAATGTTTCACAGTCATATTTGATCTAATATTACAATTTTTCATTAGAATAGAAAATAAAAACATTAAAAAACGTATGTGTCCCTATCTACTCTCATATATTCATTCTCCACGGACAACTTCTAGAAAGTTTTTTTCGACAAAGGAGCCAAGAACATACAGTGGAGAAAGGAAAGTCACTTGAATAAATGCTGTTGGGAAAACTGGACAGCCACATGCAAAAGAATGAAAATAGACCATTATCTTACACCATAGACAAATATTGATTCAAAATGGATTGAAGACTTGAATGTAAGACCTGAAACCATAAAGCTCCTAGAAGAAAAAATAAGCAGTACCCTCTTTGACATGTGTCTTAGCAGTATCTTTTTGAATATCATGTCTCCTCAGGCAAGGGAAACAAAATAAAAAATAAACAAATGGGACCACATCAAATAAACAAGCTTCTGCACAGCAAAGGAAACCAATAACAAAACAAAAAGACAACCCACAAACTGAGAGAAAATATTTGCAAATCATATGTCCGATGGGAGTTAATTTCCAAAATATATAAAGAACTCATACAACTCAACAACAAAAAAATGAACACCTCAATCAAAAAATGGGCAGAATATATGAACACACATTTTTCCAAGAAGATGTACTGACGGCCAACCGGCACATGAAAAGATCTTCAACATCACTAATTATTAGGGAAATGGAAATTAAAACTACAATAACATATTACCTCATGCCTGTCATAATGGTTATTGTTAAAAAGAAAAGAAATAACAAGTGTTGGAGAGGATGTGACTAAAGGGAACTCTCGTACACTGCTGGTGGGAATGCAAACTGGTGAATCCACTGTGGGAAACAGTGTGGAGATTCCTCAAAAAGTTAAAAATAGAAATATCATATGATTCAGCTATTCTACTTCTGGGTATTTATCCAAAGAACCTGAAAACACTAATTCGAAAAGATATATGCCCCCTATGTTCATTGCAGCATTATTCACAATAACCAAGACTTGAAAGCAACCCAAGTGCCCACCAACGGATGAATGGATAAAGAAGACATGGTATACATATACAATGAGATACTACTCAGCCTAAAAACGATGAAATCTTGCCATTTGCAACAACATGGATGGACCTTGAGGGTATTTTGCTAAGCGAAATAAGTCAGACAGAGAAAAACGAATACCGTTTGATTTCACTCATATGTGGAAGGTAAAAAATCAAAGACATAGGTACAAAGAACAGATTGGTGGTTACCAGAAGGGAAGGGGTTGGGCAGAGGCTGAAATGGGTAACAGGGCACATGTGTATGATGACAGATGGAAACTAGACAGATGGAAACGATAAGCAGACTATACAGAAGCTGAAGTATAATGATGTATGCCTGAAATGTACATGATGTAATAAACCAATGTGACCCCAATAAAATAAAAATAAATAAGAAATGGGAGGAGCCAGGGTCTCAGCAGGGTGGCCAGGGGTCAGAGGGTGAAGACAGGCAGGCTTCCTCTTTCCTCTTTTGTCTCCTTCAACTTTTTCCTGGTGTCCCCACCACATCCCATCTCACACCACACCTGTGTTTCATTCACCTCTGTCCATCTCTTACTAAGTACAAATGAATAAGGAATCCAGGAAACTTATATTCATTTAGAGAAACTGAAATTCCAAAGGACTGAAGCTCTAATCTTGGAGACACAAGAGAGAGAGGACATAGGCAGCCACCAGCTTTCATGCATTGTTGGGAAATTATCGAATTTGTGGGTTTAGGGTTCTGGGACACAGGCCCCACGCCCCCTCCTATGGCCCTGGGTCCCCATTTCTGCTGCCAGCACTGACTCTGCAGTTGTGAGGGGATCACGGTGTGGCTGGGATGTCTCTCCCTTCCCCAGATCACTGACAGTTGGTGGGCAAGCCTCCTGGGCAGCTTGGGTGACGAAACCTATCCCACCAGCAGGAGAATGGGACTGTGAATTCTGACCCCCCCCACCCCCTTCCTTCCTCTCTTGGGGGCTAAAAGTCTGGCAGGAGGAAGTACCAGCAGCAACTCACTGGGCAGCCTTCCTAGGAAGATGCAGCCGCTCCCGCTTCTGGTGGCCTTTCTCCTACCACTCGGGGCTGGAGCAGGTAAGTGACCGTCCCCAACCTCAGAGGCCCAGCCTCTCTCATAGACCCTGGAGCCAGACTGCCTGGCACTTCTGAACTCAGGATCTCTGGGCAAGTTATTTGAATTCACAATTCCTCACATTCCTCAACCATAAAACTGGAAAAATTTCAATGCCTACCTCACAGAGTTGCTATGAGAGTTAAGTTAGTTAGTGTCCATAAAACTCTTGGAATTGCCCTTGGCACTTAAACATGCTATATAAATGTGCTCTCTAAGTTCATTCTCCTGCCCATGTGTCAGAGCCTAGGAGATAAGGAAACAGCAGTAACAGTGCCATCAGCTCACATCTAGTCCCATCCCATGCTGGTGACGAGCTGGCCAGGAGCTGGACTCAGAGTGATCTGGGAAGCTCCCTGAGGAAGAAAGTACCTGGGACTTCAGGGAGAGGCCACTCCAGCAGGCTCCCATCCAACAGCAGAGCATCTCTCCTCAATGTGGGAGGCTGAAGCTGGCCATGCCTGGAGCAAGGACCTTCTCCTCCTTTGGGGAAGGTGGGAGGGGGCTGAGGTCTGGGATGGGGAGTCAGCAGAGTTTCCTGAAGAGCCCTGGAGTGCTCCCCAATGTGTGGTGCAGACCCCAACTCTCACCACCAACTCCTCTTTCCTCCACATCATGTCTCCTTCCTCCCCATCTTCTAGCCTTTCTGGAGCCACCAAGCTGGTACCCAACCCACGGGTTCCACAAGCACAGAGATAAGTACCGAATGCTTCCTTCCAGGGCAGATCATCGGAGGCCAAGAGGCCACGCCCCATTCCCACCCCTACATGGCATATCTTCAGACCCAGACTCTAGTGGGTCCAGGCATGTGCGGGGGGTTCCTGGTGCGAGAAGACTTTGTGCTGACAGCAGCCCGCTGCTGGGGAAGGTGAGGAACTAAGGAGCTTCCTGGGCGACCAGTAACACAGGCCCAGAAGGATCATAAGAGAGGCCATCTGAAAGCAGGGCTCCAGCAACGAAGGGGTGAAAGAGCCCGGGTAGGTCTGGGGGCCGGGAACAGGCCAGTGTAAATAAGGAGAAAAGAAGGGCATGATCAAATAGCAAGAGGAGGAAACGGAAGACACTCATTGGGGCTCAAAATGTGAATTCAAGCTCTCTCTCAATTTATTCTAGGGGAAGTAAAACTAAGGTCACTGCACCCCCCACCATCCCCAGCTCAGGGCTTTGGAGAAGCAGAGGGCACAGACAGAGCCCCAGAGTCCCCCTCCCCTCAATTCCCTCAACTGCAGTCTCACCACCCTGAGCTGTCCCCCTGCCCTGCAGAGCTGGTGGAACATAGTTGCTGTGGCTCACACCTACCTCTAGGCCTCCTCTCCTTTGCAGCCCTGTGAATGTTATCCTGGGGGCCCACAACATCGGGAGACGGGAAAGCACCCAGCAGCTCATATCTGTGCGCAGAGCCTTCCCCCACCCTGAATATAATCAGCAGAACCACCTGAATGACATCATGTTACTGCAGGTACCACCTACCTGACCCCCTGGTTCTCCAGCCCAGCTGACTTTCTCCCAGTGTGGGGGCTTCATCCTGTCCTGGGACCACGGGGGAGGAAGCTGGCACAGAGTCCCAGGTAGTGGTGAAGCCAAGGGGTGCGTTCTGCACAGGGGTCCCTGAGGGCCTGCACTCTTCCTACCAGCTGGAGAATAGAGCCACACTGAACAGGGTCGTGAGGCCAGTGGCTCTGCCTCGGACCCAGACCAGGCTGAGGCCTGGGGACACGTGCACCGTGGCGGGCTGGGGCCTGGTGGGCCTGGATGGGAGGACAGACACACTCCAGGACGTGCGGCTGAGAGTGCAGAGGGATCAGGAGTGCAGCAATCGCTTCAATTTCTACACTCACCGAACTCAGATTTGTGTGGGGAACCCGAGGGAGAGGAAGTCCCCCTTCCTGGTAAGGCCACGGGCATCTGCCAACACTGCCCACAACAGAGGGGCCTGGGCAGAGCTGATCGGGGAGAACAGACTACAACCCCAGGGCCTCAGTCTGGAGCCCAGACCTGAGTGGGCGGGGGGGGCGCTTTCTCCCATCAATCTGGTCTGGGGACAGGGGAGGAGTACCGGACACACAACATACACACATGTCCCCTTGTCCTGGGGAAGGGGAAGGTACCTGACTTGAGTTGAACTAGAGACAGTAACCACAGTCAGGACTGAAACCCAGCAATGGAAAGATCCAGAAGCTCAACTGCTGCACCCCCACCACCCTCCTTTCTCACCCACCCCACAAATGAAAGAGCTCACCTGTCCCTGCCTTCTCTGAGGGCCAGGCCTCAGGGCAGCAGGAGTGGGGAGGCCTGACTTCATGTCCCTTCCTCTCATCACCCACAGGGGGACACCGGAGGCCCCCTGGTGTGTCACAATGAGGCCCAGGGCATCGTTTCCTATGGAAATGGGATCGGGACCCCTCCAGCAGTCTTCACCAGGGTTTCCAGCTTCCTGCCCTGGATAAGAAGAACAATGAGACGCTTCAAACAACAGGGTCAGACTGAGACCCCCCTGTGACTCACTCTTCTTCTCTGGGGCCAAGGCCAGCTCCAGGGGCATTCTCAGAGCCTTAATAAATGTCCATGTCTAGAGTGGAACTATCCAATTTCTCATTTGTTCATTCAGCATCATTCAGTACACAACAAATGTATGCCTGGACTGATTCTGAGCTCCTCCAGGAAAATGGGGTCTCTTCTTCAGGACAATGAATCCCCCCCAATGTCATAGAGATCAGGATGAGCTTCGTCCCTCCTCCAAGCCATCCATTCCCCCATATCCCCTCCCCCCATGTCCTTGGGAGTGATGGAAGGACATCTCTCTCCCCAGGGCAAGACTCTCTACTCTCCCCCTACCAGAGACCCCCACTAGATATTAAAGTACAATCTGCCTTCCGTACCCCCATGGATTCAACCAATGCAGATCAAAAAGCCTATGCTGGTTGCGTAGTACTGAACATGAATAGATTTTTTTTCCTTGTCATTATTCCCTAAACAATACAGTATAACTACAGTATTAAAAACTACAGCATTTACATTGTGTTAGGTATGATAAGTATTCTAGAGATAATTTAAAGTGTACGGGATGATGTGTGTAGGTTGTATGCAAATACTTTGCCGTTTTATACAAGGTAATTGAATATCTGCAGATTTTGATATCCACGGGGGGCCTGGAGCCAATCCCCTCTGGATCCTGAGGGACGACTGTACACTCTAAAATCGTGTGCCTTTGGTGTGTGTAGGACAGGCAGACCAAAGGACAGAACTGAAATTCCATACCACGACCAATTTAATACACAGTGAAGGTGGCATCTCAAATCACTGGGAACCCATAAACTTTTAATAGACAGTGTTAGAACAACTAGGTCGTTATTTGAGGAAAAGCAGAAAATTGGATCCACTCCTCACACCAGAATCTAAAATAACCCTCTAATGGATCAGAGATCTAAATGTAAAAAATTAAAGCATACAAGTACTAGAAGAAAAAAAAAAGATTTGTTTCCTTAAAAATAGGTAATGAATACCCACGTTCACAACAGCACTATTCACAATGGCCAAGAGATGAAAGCAACCCACGTGTCCATCACAGCCAGAGTCCTTCTCCTAAACTCTTCACCACACCAACTCCCAGTGTCCTATAGACCAATGTTCTCATTTATAAGGTGACGAGGGTCTGCTGCTTGTTTTGATGCTCTGAAGTTACACAAAACTCCGCACAAAATGTTGAATAAAATAACATGACTTTTACCCTAAATATTAGCCCATATTCAAATAAAAGATTACTGACATCACTTAATTTAAAATCATACTTTAGGGCCAGCCCCGTGGCTTAGTGGTTAAGTGCGAGCGCTCCGCTACTGGCGGCCCGGGTTCGGATCCCGGGTGCGCACCGACGCACCGCTTCTCCCGCCATGCTGAGGCCGCGTCACTTACAGCAACTAGAAGGATGTGCAACTACGACATACAACTATCTACTGCAGTTTTGGGGGAGAAAAAGGAGGAAGATTGGCAATAGATGTTAGCACAGAGTCAGTCTTCGTCAGCAAAAAGAGGAGGATTATCATGGATGTTAGCTCAGGGCTGACCTTACTCACAAAAAAAAAAAGAAAAATCATACTTTAAATACCTTCCTAAGGTAACTGTACAGAATGAGCTGGGAGGTTTTTCTACCTCCACCAAAATGTAAATGTAAATAACTCTTGTAGTCTATACAGAAACTCATAAATAATAATGTGGGCCTGAAATTACACAATGTTATAAACCATTGTGATCTCAAGAAAACAGTTGAAACAAAATGTTAATTACTCTTTGCAGTGTAACATTTACCATCTAAACTTTTGCAGCCTCCATGTCTAAATCACTGAGCACATATTTTATCAAATCCAACCGGCTGCATACAGAAATGCTTTGGTAAATTTGACCATTATTTTATGGGTCTTTCTTATCAGAAAGCCATTAGCATAATATTCAGCATAAGCCATTTATCAACAAAGTTTAAATCAACAGTACATCTTTGACAATGCTCAGTCACTCTCGATATTTGCTGCCATCTACCCATAGGAATTACCTGTTACTCGCATGCTCAGGAGGATAACAGTCTCATTATTCAATGTTTGCATTGGCAAAGGGAAACCACACTTGATGGCAGGGAGGAGGGGAAGGAGAGAGCAGTGGAAGAGTCCCCCATTCAGCCCCCCTTCCTCTCTGGGACATTCACTTAGAGCCCCAGAGCACCACCCCATCTCAGGACTCGGTCCCCAGGAAACACCCAGGACAGACATGTCTCACTTCCATGTCTTTCTCTGCCAGGCAGCACTTCCAAGGCAGCTCTCTGCCTCCAGCTGCCCTGCTGAAAAGATTTCCACAGACCTCCCGGCGCTCACCTCAGAGACAATTCCCTCATGACCGTCCCAGAGTCCAGCCCCACCACCTCCCGCAGCTCTGCTCTCTTCACGATTACGGAAACCTCAGCAGCAAAGCTTTAGCAAGAAAGTGTTTTGCACACTGAAAGCTAGTGCAAAAGCACACAATTCCTCCCACTCTCTTTCTCCAGGTGCAGACTGTGCATTAAAGGCCCTTCTGACCTGACTGGGAAGTCGTAAAACCATGACAAGCTCATGCTTAGTAACCTCACTGGGAACTAAGGCAGACTTGCGGTCTGTAGAGGCCTGTGTCTTCTGCTCCACGGCCTGATCAGAGTCAGGAGAAACTGGACACTGGCCATTCATCATAACTATAGCAGAATCGCAGAGGTGAGGGGTGGTAAGCATGATAAAGCTATCTGAGTTTGTCTGGGAAAAGGTGGGTGCCCAGAGCAACCAGACTGAAATTTGAGGGGGAGAACAAGGGGCAGCACAGGCCAGTCCCAACAGCTCAAAGGAAACGTCTCTATTACAGAAATGTGAAAATACTATCAGAAGTACATGAAATCTGCTAAATAAATTATGAATCATCAAGATTTTAGGTGGCATGACCCTCACAACAATTAAGAACTCTGTTAGACTGATATCCTATCAAAATTTCATTTTCAAGTTTCCACTGAATTTTCAGAAGTATAATTTTCCAAGGCTGCATTATGATCCACTGCATGATATACAGAAAATTACTAAACCATTTCAGCAATCCAGGAATTTACAGTGTTGACTTTTAAACATGCTATTACAACTTTGACAATTAGAATGGGTTTCAGTGGCAGCCAGCTCTAATATGGACTGGATGACTCCCACCTCCTGGAGTTCACACTGGAGAGCAAAGGCCTTTGCTGGCACAACAATGTCACTGAGACCCCAAATTTGCAGGGCAAGGAGAGACCAGAATGACTAACAAAAGCCAAGATGAATTACACCCTCTTCACATTTTCTACCACAAACAGATGTCACTCACGGTGCCCACAACATCACAGAGGAGGAAACCACCCAGCAGCAAATCCCTGTGTGCAGAGCCATTCACATCCTGATGGAGAGAAAAGACAGGGACCAGATACAACTGCAAGAGCCTCATGCCTGCCTTTCTGGTTCTGCAGATGATCAGGCCCAACCCTTCCCCCCTCCTCCACCCTGACTGATCTGCTGGGTCCCAGGCCACCTAGGGGGGTGGTACAGCTTTTGCAGGAGGGGTTCAGTAGACAGCTCTTCTCTGGCTTGAGTTCCCAAGAGGAGCAAGAGAGAATTTGCCATCTCTTGCCTCTTCCAGCCTTCTGGAACACAAGGCCAAATGACTTCTGCTTTGAGGTTTTTTGTCTTGCACGAGAGCTAAGACTGGGTAATATAGGGGAAGATGTGCAGGGAGGCAGGCTAGGGTTACCTGGGTGATGGCAACTCTCAGACTCACTCCAGGAATTGGACATGGAGGTGCAACTGAGGCACAGACCAGTATTACTACAGCAGCTCTGACCAGCTGTGTGTGGGATTCAAAGGAGAAGGCTATTCAAGGGTAAGGTGGGTGGTATGCCCAGCAGTGACCCAGAGGCAAAACGCCCTAGGGGCATCTGGGGAAGAATATACCCACAGTCTACAAAATTGGATTACCAGGGTCCACGGGATCCCCCATCCAGTCTATGGAGCTTGTTCCTGATCCTCCAGGAGGACACTGGAGAGCTGGGGTAGAGCTGGAGACAGCAGTCAGGACTGAGAGGGATGCCCAGGATGCCGATACGCATTCCCTCTCTCAACCACATACACGCACTGACACATACCAGGGCCCTGACCCTCTGACATGAGCGAGTCTGGGCTCCAAAGGGAATCTCCCTGTGAAGGGAACGCCCCTGAAAGGCCCAGGTGATTGGCGTGAGGAAGTCCACATGAACAGGAGCAGGGAGCTGGGCTAAGGGACACTTCAGGACTCAGGAGACCACTAGTCCAACAAGGACCACCTTCCTTAGGGAATCACTGCACATCCCCGGCCCAGCTTCCCACAGCAGCCTGTTGCACACACAGTGGGTAACTACAGGGCTCCTCCTTGAGGTGACAAAACTCCTGGCCAACTGGTCACTCAGCTGGGCTCTGTGCTGAGTGCTGGAGGACAAGGTGGCAGCATCTGCCCCAGCCTAAGGGCCACCCACTGCCCAGTCCCTCAGCACCCACAGGACATTTCAGCCCATCCCTTCTGGTCACAGCTAGCAGATCAGCTCTGCTTCTGCCATCCATCAATACACACATGGTTAGTGAGGGTCAGTCAACTGTTGGGCCAGGAAATACAATGGTGACAATGACAAATGCCTAATGACCCAGTGTCAGAGTGAGCTCAGTCTGCATTCCGCGGATCTCTGTGCTTTGTTCTCAGAGTTCTCAGTGACCCAGATCTAGACGAAACTCAATTAGAATGGAAGAGTGTCCAGTTCCAATAAACACCAGAACTTCCATTGTTTGTCACATTACACTCTGCTTGTATCATTTCACATGATCTTAGAAATATAGATGATTGTAGCTAAAGGAATCTTATACATCATGATGTCCCATGGTTTCAAATCCTGTAGCCTAAAGGAAGACAAGAGGGAAGGTATCAATGCCCTCACCTCATCACATTAAATCAGAGATGTTCATGTGTTTGAAATATTTGGCATTGGTGAAATTATTTCCTGTGAGGAAAATATCACAATATTG